GATAAGTACTTGCGCTGGGGCGGCTGATTTATGTGTAGTCTTGTGTATACGACTGAAACCACATGCCAGTTGTAGCATCGCTTTTGTGTTAGCAATGTTTGCGTATGGCGACATCGCCTGCGTGTGTCAGCCATGCGTGTCGCCGCCTTTGTGGTTCAAGCCGCCTGTCCAGAGGGCGGCGCGAGCTTTGTTACGGACTGGGAACGTAAATGCGCTTACGTGCAATTGATGATACGCCTGTGTGGCCAAACGGTTGGGCAAAGTTTGGCCACGCTATTGGGCCATGCGTTCCCCCAGCCGTTGAAGAAGCCCTTTGGGGAACACGTGGGGGAGGAGGAGGAGGAAGAGAGGGAGGAAAAAGGAGGATGAGGAGAAGGATGAGGAAACCTCTTGGAAGCTTCTTGAATCATTATTGGGGCCTCCTGGGAGCTTCCTGGGGGCCTCTTGGAGACCACATGGGGTGCATCCTTGGGTCTCTTGGGGGCCTTTGGGGTTTCCTGGGGGCCTCTTTGGCAATTTCACGGCATTCCTAGCCCGTCTGACGCCGTCGGAAGTCGTCTTGGGAGCCACTCTGGGCCGTCTTGAGGCCCTCTTGAGGCGCATCGGGGTCGTCTTGAAAGCCGTCTTGGGCGTCTTGGAGGCCTCTTGCGCCGTCTTGGGGCCCTTTGGGGACCGTCTTGGAAGCCTCTTGAGCCATCCTGGGGGAATCTTGGAGGCCTCTCTGGCGATCTTGGGGCAGTCTTGGGAGCCTCTTGAACTGTCTTGGGCCGCCGGAAGGCAGTTTTGAAGCAAAGACAACAATCGCTTACACACCAGAAAGCGATGTTGGTCTCTTCAAGCCTCCCTGGACCTCTTGGAGGCATCCTGGGCCGCTGTTGGGGCCTCTTGGGCGTCTTAGGGGCCTCCTGACCAGTCTTGGGCTCTCTTGGACCATCTTATCTTGGCGGTCTTGGAGGCATCTGTGGATCGTCTTGGAGGCCACCCTGGAGCTGCCACGAGGCGGCTCCAGGGTGGCATCTGCTTAACCCCTAAATACTTTCTCGGCCTCCGGTCGAGGGCGTCTACGGCATAGGCACCGCGTCGCCATCAACCACAACAACAAGGCTTTCTTGGGCTCCCTTGGGGCCGCCGTCTTGAAAAGATGTGCGTCCTTTTCGGCGCTGTGCCTAGGCCATCTACGCGGCGCTGTACGTCCTTTTCGGGTAGCCGGCTGGCTGTGCCGAGACCCCCCACTGGGAGTTGTTTAGAAAGGAATGCGTTCTTGTTTAACGCTGTGCACCCCTTTGGCAAGCCAACAGGGGGCGGATCGAATGGCATTCGGCCCATTCCGCCACCGTGCCTGTTTTGTGGGTCTGAGGCCTCTTGGATGTTCTTTGGGATCTTGCCGAGGTCTCCTGGCGGCCTCCTGGAGGCAGTTTTGAAGCTTCTTCTGAGGGTTGTTTGGGGGTCTCTTGGGGCCTCTGTTGGGCTTTTTTTTTTTTTCCCCGTCTGGGCAGCACATGTGTAGCTGGCAACTCAGGCTGCCATGAAAATAGTAAACCAAAGGTGGTTCAGAGGGTGCGGTGAGACGAGCAACAATGACAATGTATGCGCGCTATATAGCTGCGCTCACCGACACCTGTCAGAAGTACCGTCAGACAGCATTGAGCCCGCGCGCTTCAACTGACAGGCGCGGGTGGGATTCGCATCCCGTTCCTCCTCCACCTCCACCTCCACTCCTGTTCATCTAAGCAGTGGGCAAAAACACCATCCTTCCACTTCACGAGCGTCGACACTCATGGGACCAGCCAGAATCATAAACAAGTCGGCCAACGTCAGAGGCCAGACGACCACCGTGACGAATTAACTGCTCGCTACTGCAATACCAAATAACCAACAGCGAACAGATTTGGCCGTGGCTGTTCGCAGCGTGTGGCAATAGACACTATTCCCCAAACAGTGCTTGGACTTACGGATCCATCTTTCTTTTCTCAAGAACTGGCTGTGTCAACCTAGATTGCATCACACATGGATTGCGCAACGTCAATTCCTAGGAACACACGGTTTGGGGTCCACGCAGGCTAATCTACATCAAGCTAATATGAAGCGCAGCCGATGGCAAAACTTGAACTGAGCAGGAGGCTGTGATGGATACGGGATAGAGCAGGAAGAGGATGATGAGCAGGTGAAAGCTTAGATCGAGGAGCGGTAGGAGGAAAAAGGACAAAGGAAGCATCACCATCCGTATATGTTCTTAAGCCCAATTCATAGGAAAGCGCTTGCGCATGAACACTTCCCGCTTCAAGTCGCTGGGAAAAACTGGATGGCGGCGGTGCAGGAGCGAAGGCGCCCGCAAGTACCAGGGACGAATTGACACATCGATGACAGATGCATGAAAACTGGTGGCTACATCATTCTCACCTTAGAGAAGCACGCAGAGCAAAGTTCTGTCCGAACTGGCGAACGCAATCTGCAGATTACCCGATGCAAACATGCAGGCACATCACACGCAGTTACAACACTATCTTACAATCGCGGTCGCGATGGGGGGAGCGTCCGCTGCCTCAGGAGTTCCCATGATGCTACTATCTGACTCAATTCTTTTGAGGAACTCGCTGGCCGAAATCCGCTTGCCCAACCTATCCGTCGGCGTCGCGCTCTGCATCCTGCCGACGAGGCTCTGCCGAATCAGAAGTTTGACATCGATGTTGCGGGCAGTGCCTTTCAGCATCGCCATGCCTTGAATGAGCTCGTCAACCGAGAGACTCCCATCCCCGTCTGCGTCGATCAGGTGGAAGAGCAGACCCGCATCTGATATGTCGTAATCCATTGCTTTTAGCCACAACTGGAACTCTGGATGGCTGAGGACTCTCTTGAAGTGCTGCAGGTCGATGGCTGCACCGACATCTTCATTGCTTTCGGTTGCCATCATCTGGAAGAGGTGCTGCATCTTCATCGTCTGCATCTTGACCTGGTTTGCCTTCCTCTTGATCAGGAGTTGGTCGTCGGTCTCGGCGGCGCGGAACGTCTCCTGGGTGAAGACGCCGAAGATCACGCCGATCACAGCGAAACCCATGACAAGTTTGTAGCACAAGGCGAACACCGACCAAGGCTCGTGCATCGTGTCCATCATGAGCCGGCAGATGGGCGGCCAATTCGCCAGCATCAGCTCAAACAGCGACACCATAGCCCTCCAGTAGGTTCCAAAATACTTGTCTCCTTCTTGTCGGCGTCCGTCTTCAAGAACTCCTCTCCATCCGAGCCCAAGTAATAGTCCTGAACGAGGTTTGTGACTAGAAGTGCGAATAGAGTCTGAATGACGAATAAGAAAACGACAACCCACATCAACACGGCAAGGCTCCCTCTCAGAGCCGTTGTCATCAAGTACAACGAATCGAAAGCCTTAATCTGCTTGACTAACCTGACGATCCGCAGCAATCGGGCCAAGCGCACTGCACGCGCAGCACTGACGTTTACTGAGACAGAGCCTGCGATGAGGGTGAAATCTGTTACGGTCACCACCACTATGTCGAGCCACCCCCAGGGATCGCACAAGAACTCCGAGCGCAGGAAGACGAGCCTCAAGACAAGTTCGATCGTGAACAGTACGGCGAAGAAAACGTCGGCGGCGAAGAAGTCGTGGTCGGATGGAGCACCTGTCTCCTCGCGGAAGGCGTCGGAGCCGTAGTACGAGTAGATGCCGAGCTCGTGGCCAATCCTGGCACCTTTGTACTGCCCCTCGAGGACCATGAACACCACATTCAGCAGGATGAGGCAGGCGGCAGTGGCCTCTGCCCAGGAGGAGGCCATGACGTCCTCCATGGCCCGCATCATCTTGTTGCTGCTCGGCCGCCTTTTCCAGCGGCTCCTGCGCATGTCGAAGAAGCTGATGCTGTCGGCGGGGATGCTGCCCTTCGACGCGTTGCGCTCGGCCTCGCTGTCGAGCTTCGAGATGTCCCTCTGCGCCGCCTCCAACTGCGGCAACTCATAGGAGCCTCCCACACAATCTTGCTGGCTCTTCGACGCGTCGCGCTCGGCCTCGCTGTCAAGCTTCGAGATGTTCCTCTGCACCGCCTCCGCGGGAGACGTGGGCCCGTGCGCGTCGAGGGGCGGCGGCGCCCTCCGGGAGGCCGCGGGCCGCACGGAGGCGAGGCGCGCGGCCGAGGCGGGCGCCGCCCGCTCGCACGCGTCCTCCCCCCCGCCCGCGCCGCCGGCGGAGGCGGCGCCCGCGCGCGCCGCCTCTTCCGCGCGCCCGTCGCCGAGGGCCGCGCCGCACCTGGCAAGCGCGGCGCAGAACTGCTCGAGTTCCCCGCCCTCCGCGGCGGCCTGCGTTCGCAGGAGCTTCGCCAGCTCGTCGAGGTGCTCGCCGACGGCCAGGAGCGCCCGCGCCGCTGCAGCGGGCGCGGGCGCAGGCGCGAGCATGGGCGCGGACGTGGGCGCTGTCCAGACCGCTTCTCCAGAGGCCTCCCAGATGAGGTCTGAGATCGGCAGGGCCTGCGCCGGAGGGGGCGGCCGGCGCGCCGCCGGGGTCGCGGGCGCTCCCGACGGCTTCGAGCGGGGGGCGCGCGGCCTTGAGCCAAAATGGCTACAGAGGGCCTCTGTTGGGCTTCTTGGGGGCATCTTGAGGCCTGGAGGGGGCCTCGTGGGGGCCCCGTGGAGGCCTCTTGGGGGCGTCGTGGTCCCACGCGGGCGGGTACTGTATGCAGTGTTTCGTGGGCTGGTCGGGCGCTGTCGCGCTGTCTGGTGGAGTGCCCGCAGGATCTGTCGGAGTACTTTCGAGGTCTCAAAAAAATCCTTGTGAAGGCCTCCTGGGGCCTCCTGGGCGCCTCGTGGAGCAGAAGGCTCGGATGCGGTTCGTGTTCCCCCTCTTGGACCCCTCTAGGTGCCGTCTTGTGGCCCTCTTGGGCAGTCTTGGACGCCTCGTGGGTCGTCTTGGGGCCCTCTTGGGCTGTCTTGGGGCTCTCTTGGGGGCCTCTGGGGCCATCTTACGGCTGTCTTGGGGGCTCTTGGGACGTCTTGGAGCATCGGAACTCCAAAACATTGAATAACAAATGAGAACATCAATGAGTTGGGACCCTCGGTGCCTTTTTGGGCAGGCTTTTGGGGCTCTCTTGCGGCACCTCGAAGGCAATCTTGGGCCGTCTTGGGGCCATCTTGAGCGTCTTGGACCGATCGTGCGGCGACTCGGGGCAGGCCTGGACCGTCTGGGCGGCCTCTTGTTTGGGGGCCCCCTCGGCCCCGAAAAGTCATGCGGGAACACTCCAGTGAGCCCAGAGGGCACGCACCAAACCCCAGGAGGTGTGAGAGTTCGGGACCTGGGCCCTTGAAAGGATCCTCAGGATTGAAGACTGAGACTCGGAGGAGGAGGAGGAGGTTGAGCAAGGGACCGGAGGACACTCCACTTCGTGCCACAAGGGCACGATGGCGGATCATAAGACGGGTGGGTCGGACACTCTGGGCGGCGAAGACGCTGCTAACGCAAGCAAGCGTGAGGCCCCTGATCTGCTCCCTAAGAGTGCAGCCAGCGATGTGCGAGACCAGGGACCAGGGACGCGGTGTGGTCACAGGTACGCGCCGGACCAGGTGCCCTGCTGGGCGGAGCAGTACTGTTTGCCCCTTGCTGTTGGGAATACGACCTGGTCTCTTGGGCAAAAAAAGGAAAAAGGTCCAGCGTGCCAGGCCACGACTACGGGTGGCAAGCTTCGCTCCTCACGGACACGAGCCCAGAGGTCAGCCGAAACACCGAGGACGCATGGTGCACCGTGCCCCGTGCTCCCTGCTCGTCCATCCTGCACCATCCCTCCCTCCCAACCTCCTCTATATATCTCCCCTCCTCTCCCCTCCTCCCCTCCTCTCCCCCTCCTCTCCCCTCCTCCCCTCCTCTCCCCTCCCCTCCCCTCCCTCCCGTCCCCCTCTAATCTCCCCAACTCTCCCCTCCTCTCCCCTCCTCCCCCCTCCTCTGCGGCAGGATCGTGTCGTGTCGACCCCCGCGTTGGTTCCTGACACCGCGGGGATCGTTCAACCTCGAACGATCGGCCGTTGCCGGGACTAGGGGGCCACATGCGAACCATACCCCTACCCCCCACGATTTCTGAGGGGGAGGGGTAGGGTTCGCATGTGGGCCCCTGGGGACGTCAGCTCGTTCAACGTCGACCGATTCTGAATCGCCGGCGGCGGGGGATAGGGGGGGAGGAGGAGGAGGAGGAGGAGGAGGAGGAGGAGGAGGAGGAGGAGGAGGAGGGAGGAGGAGGAGGAGGAGGAGGAGGAGAGGAGGAGGAGGAGGGAGGAGGAGGAGGAGGAGGAGGAGGAGGAGGAGGAGGAGGAGGAGGAGGAGGAGGAGGAGGAGGAGGAGGAGGAGGAGGAGGAGGGGGAGGAGGAGGAGGAGGAGGGGCAACGGGGCAACCAAGGTCAAGCATCCGAGGACGGAAGCTAGCCGAAAGGACAAGGAGGAGGCCGTGCCTCACGGGGTAGCGCAGGCAAGGCCCGCACCCCCTTAAAGCGCGCACGGGCGCGCCGAGCCGCACCCAAAGCCCAGTCCTGCGCAGTGCCGACGCAAGGCGACGGCCCTACGCGGGAGCGGGCGGTGGGCGCGGCTCACGTCCAGCCAGCACTTCGTCCCTGAACCAGTCCTGGCCCGAAGACGCAGCGCCCGAGCACGGCGCGAGGAGCTTCCGCCAGCTCGGCGCTTCAATGAAACAGTGCGCCGCACAGCGGCGGCAAATCAAATAGCGGCCAGACGCCTGCACCACATGACCCTCGAAGACAAAAGTGTCAGGGGGCTCCAACGGGGCCTCGATGGATGACTCGAGCCCCAGCGCTCTGAGAGTGTCCTGGACGGCGACACATCGCGCCCTAGGTAGGGCGCCTCCGCGCCTCCAGGCACGCACAGCAGAAAGAAACAGGTGGAGGGGAGACGGGGCACATCTCGCACCAGGCTGCTCGAGCTTTTTCCTGCTCAAGGCCGCCCGCGCCGAACAGTGGCACCACGTGCACCTCACCGCCTCAGGGACCCCCTCCACGAACTCCAGATCATGAGAAAGCAAGGAGAGTTGAGGGAGACCGTCTCCTCTAACCCTCACTGGAGCAGGCAGGTCTGGAGCTGCTGCAGGGGCTAGCTGCGCAGCCCGAGACAGGAAATCCAGCGTCTTATAGCAATCCTTGACATTTTCCCGCAACACTGAGGTGACCAGCTCTGGTAGCTTGTGCTCACTAGCCCCCAGTCGCGCAAAGAAATCGGCCCAGGCGTTCCCAATGCAATCGACAACCCTACGACCGACAACATCCTATGGGAACGCCTGGCCCTCAAGGACCACCAACAAATCCTGGTGGGCAGGGGTCCAGCGGAAAACAGGCCGCTCAGCCCTGCCCTGGTACAGCTCAAAAATTTGCCTCCAAACCGAAGCGTGCGTGCCTCTGCCAGCAGCCAGACCAGGGTCCCACAAGTTCCCTTTTTTGACCGCCGACAGGTGATCCGAAACAACTTCCAGGCCCCACGGCCCAACCTTCAAAGCATGGAGGATGGCCTGGCGCTCGGCCCTCGGGACCGTTTGGACAGGCCCCGCCAGGGCTCCGAAAGCGGCCTTCACAGGCCATCCCCCAGTAGAGAGAGGGCAACAACCGCCCAGCCACAGCGAGTGGCCTCTGGGGTTCCCGACGCCAGGCCATTCCCGTCAGTGTACACGCGAAATCCCCAAGAAAAGACCTTTGTCAGAGCAGCGACAGCGGGGATCTCGACGGGGAGAGAAGGCAAACCGTAAACCAACTCCGGAGAGTCGAAGTCGGGAGGGGTCCCATACGCTTGCTCTTTCAGCCGCTTCCTATGCTCGCAGCACGAGTCTGGCATTGCAGCGCTCGCGCCTGGGCCGTCGCTCACCGCCCAGAGACCTTCGCATTCGTAAAACTGATGACCGAAAGCCCCCTGCGGGTGATCGCAGAAGTCACACTTGCTGCTGGCCGAATATCCGCGCTGAAACTTGCGGGCTGGGGGCCACATGGCCCCCGCCCAAAGGGCCCTGAGACACGCCCTACGGGCCCCTTGAAGCCTTTGAAACCCAAGCCGAAGAGCCCTGACCCAGACAACCTCATGCCCCTGGGCCTCGGGGAGACTAGACGCCAGCTGGATCCCCTGGGCTCTGCAAATTCCTTCACGCAGCAGATGACGCACGTCCGAAGGTGACGTGCGCAGCA